ATTTTGCTTATACAAGACTTTTATTTTGAAATGCGCGAGCCACAACTGTACCGTTTGACATGTGAAATTTTATTTAATTATAGCAACAAATATGTCGAAGCGCAAGTACAACCCCGAATAGAGTATGGATTTACATATATTGATGACAAAAAAGGCTTAAAACCTCATATGTAAGTTATATGTGTGTCATATGTAGTGATGTGCGCTCAAAAGAGCACTTTTAGAAACCAAACCTTTGTCATTTTTACTATGTAATATTTGTATAATTTGAGACATTTTGTTAAATGACAATAACAAAATATTTTTTATTTGTAAGTCTTGATGATTTTCTTATGATTTATCTGTCACTACTTGTGTATATTAACAAATAAATAAGAATTAATTATAATTCCTAAAATTATAGTTTCTAAAAAATTTGGGTCGCGGGTTGATGACCATGTTAAAATGTGGGTCCCATGGCCAAACCAGTTGAGAACCCTTGCTCTAAACCAAATGACCAGTTGTCTAAACACATTTACTAAATCTAGACACCATTTTCCAATTTCATAATCACATTTCACATGAAGACACAATTCACAAAACACAGTCCTCCGTTCTCATAAATCTAAACACATTTTTCCTTGCTAAAACACAAGTTGCAAAACTCTGCTCATATTCTCAAATGAAAGCTCATGTGATGCAAAATGCTTGCCAAAGTCAGCAATATTAGAACACAATGAACACACCAGGCATCATTCATTACACACAATGCCTCAAAATTGAAGACACTTGCTTCTAATGCTGTGACCACATGGATAAAAGCAAGTTCAGAGTGCAGTTTGCTGAAGATTACAAACACAATGGATGAAGGCAGAGTCAGGGGAAGAGGAATTCGAGTCAGAGGAGGGAGCTACAGCTATAGATGAAGAGAAGCAGGCCAACGAGGAAGAGGAGGAGGCCATCAAGGGAGAGGAAAAGGTCCAGGAGGGAGAGAAGGTCCCTCCAATACAACTTCACACCATAATTAAGGACAAGATGTGAGCAACAGTCATTGACCATGTCAATATTACTCTTTGTGCTGCCATGGGTTCGGAGGGGTTTGTCCACCGGCATGCTGTCCTTGAGTCTTACAACACCCAATGTCTACTCACTTTCCTAGAGGACCTAAGAGACATCCTCCTGGACCACCAACAACACCATCCTGGGCCCGCACAACACATTCATGTGATCATTTGGGACATTGTCCACTTCCACAGAAGAAACCAAATCAGAGAGTGGTTCATCACCAACAGTAACCACTTGTTAAACGTCTTTCCGCCACCCTACTCCCCTTTATTGAACCCTATAGAGGAGTTCTTCTCATCGTGGAGATTTATGACAGACAACCATACACTAGAGAGAACCTCCTAAGGGCAATAGAGCTGGCCTGTGTTGACATCCCAGTGGAGGCCTTCCAAGGCAGGTTTGCCATTCCCGGGTGTTTTTCTCGTGGTGCCTGGCAAAAGACAACATAGCCTGCAATGTGGATGAGGTGATGTGGCCCGATGCTGCACAGTGACTGTGGTGTGAATAAAGTAAATAAAAAAACTTCACACCCTGATCATGTTTTCAAGTGTACTGTTGTTCTGTTTTTGCACTGAGTTGTGTTACAGATATGTACATGCATTATTTCTAAAAATTTATACATTTCATATGAAACACACAAATCTAAATGCCTAACCCTCTGCAGAGATCTAAAAAGATCTGTTACTGTAAAGTTTCTAAAAATATGCATTGGCAGTTATGAAACAATGAACCTTCTCACAAATTGAGCATTGTGTTTTCAATTGTTTTGCTGTAGTATGTAATTATGTGTATAGTGTTTACATTTATGAATGCTTTGAGCTGCTCTTTTGGTGTGAAAGTTTGAGTTTTGAAGTGAGAAGGTGTGCTTGTGTTTATGTAGCTTTAGAAAAGGGTGTTGTGTTTAGACAATGGGGAACATGAAGGGAACATTTGTGAAATGTGTTTTAGCATTTGAGAAAAACTGTAATAAAGGGACTAGGCCAAAAAGAAAATGAATGAATGAATGATTTAGAAATGTGTAAGGCAGTTAATTGAACTGTAAAAACATGCTGGCATCCAAACAATCGATTTGGATTGGGAAAACATGAAGGATTAAAATTAACATTAGTTTTTACAAATTTAAGTGTATTGAACATAAATCAATTAAGCCTCCCCCAAAAAACCCTCAATAATTATGTTGTAAATGTGTTTGAACGAGCAGCAAACATTATTTTTCTGAGTGTGTCAAAGAGTTGACATGAACATCATGTTTTAGAAACAAAATTATGTGTAAAGAAAAATGCAGTGGTGGATTACATGTGCTTAGTTTGAATTTTTAAATAATGTTCAAGATAAATTGGTTAAAAAAATTCATGAAAGAAAAGGATATACAGCTGAAGTCAGAATTACTCTTTAAATATTTCCCAAATAATGTTTCACAGAGCAAGGACATTTTCACAGTATGTCTAATAATATTTTTTTCTTTCGAAGAAAGTCTTATTTATTTTATTTCGGCCAGAATAAAAGCAGTTTTAAATTTTTTTGAAAAATATTTTAGGATCAAAAGTATTAGCCCCTTTAAACTATATATTTTTTTTCGATAGTCTACAGAACAAACCATACAATAACTTGCCCAGTTACCCTAACCTACCTAGTTAACTTAGTTAACTTAGTTAAGCCTTTAAATGTCACTTTAAGCTGTACAGAAGTGTCTTGAAAATAGTCAAATATTATTTACTGTCATCATGGCAAAGATCAAATACATCAGTTATCAGAAATGAGTGATTAAAACTATAAGTTTAGAAATGTGTTAAAAAAATCTTCTCTCCATTAAACAGAAATTGGGTATATATATATATATATATATATATATATATATATATATATATATATATATATATATATATATATATATATATATATATATATATATATATATATATATATTTATTTTTTATTTTTTGGATGATAAAACAGCATATTATAGATTACATGGACTTAATTATGAAGAATTCATTTGTTAATTTATTGATTATAATGAAATGAATAAAAGTGGTATATAAATGATCAAATATTTGGTGTTTGATATTGCACAATAAATTAGTACCATGAATTAGTTTTTGAATGAAAGTAATGGGAGTTCCCAGATTGGTGGGCGAGAGAGGCGTTTTTCAACTCGTTACCTGATTGGCTCACAGTAGGGTTTATCCATACTTGCATGATCGATTCTGTGATGGATCCTGTGGTCTGTTAACAAACGCACTTACCCTGGCTATCTACATCAGGTTTGAAAAAGGGGCTTATTCTCATCCTGGATAAGCAAACATGCAACTGACTAAGCCAGAAGGACAGAGGTCAAGCTGCGCTTTTTTTCTGTTCTCCTGGCTTTCCTTATTCCACTTTTGTTCAATACTTCTCGGCTTTATAATTTTCCCAAACAAAAAACAACCACTAAAAATAAATAAGTAACCAATGTTTGTGTTTGTGCTTTTTTATCTATTGGTATAGATTAAATATGTATGGAGGGTAAAACCTGCAAAAACAATACATGAATAAATTCGCAAATATAAATAAATGAGTAAACAAATCCCAAAATTCTTGATTAAATAAAACATTAAATAAATAAATAAATAAATATAAAAATAAATAAATGTATTTAAAAATCCAGAAATTCCTGCATATTTTTTTTAAATAATTAATAGTGCTGGCAGGCAAATAATTAAATAAATTACACGAACTAAGACAATGCTAACTGAAAGTTTATCCCCCCCCCCCCCTCTTTTAAATGTTTATTAAAATAAACTTTCAGTTTAGCGTTTTCTTATTCCCCTAGTGTAATTTATTTAATTATTTACCTGCCTGCACTATTAATTAAATATTTATTTATGCAGGAATTTGTGGATTTTTAATTAACATTTGTTTATCTGCGTATTTACTTATTATTTTATTTATTCAGAAATTTATTTACTCATTTATGTATATATTTGTGTATTTATTTATTTATTTGTTTGTTTAGCAGGTTCTGTACATACATATGATGTTTAGTGAGCTTTAAACAAGAATAAACGGATAAAATATTATTAAATAGTCACTTTTCAATAATTTTAAGGAAATTCACAAGGAGGAAATGTAATGACGAGTTCAATTCTTACAGGATGTCGATGTTAAAATGAACCGAAATTACAAATCGCTGGATCATTCGTGACTTTCCACTCACGGCCATGTTAACTTGACACTTTTGTTTTTTCCGGTGTCTCTTTCACAATTTCATAATAAAAGTTAAGCTCGTAGTAGTGGTGCCTATAAATCATCCATTTTGTCCTTTTAGTATTATCAATTTAGTATTATTAGTAGTAATGTATTGTCCTTTTAATCCGATAATGTCATAATTTAGCATTAACTTCAGTAGACGTGTTACTTTAGACATGTTTGCTATAAAAACGTTATTTCGAATAGAGTTAGTTTCAATCATATTTGTGGAATAGTGCAATTAATATAGTTTTTCCACAAACGTTTATAAAGTCTTGTAGGTAATACAAGAGAGAAAGCGAGCATCTGTTTCTTTCCCTCAGCTTTTAAAAGGGACTTTTACGTTATAACACGTTTACGTACTATTACGCACACCGGAAGTACATTCGATGCCGAAGAGACGCCTGAGAAAATGAACTCCTGAATAGCTGTCAAGATTAAAACTTACAAACATCTACAGGTCACTAACAGTAACTAGATAAGGCGTCGACGAATTTATTAAGGTATTCCTCTTTGTTTTTACTCATTTCACTTATCGGTTCATTGTGATCGGCGAAATAATGGAGAGCCCGCTGACGGTTGGCTGTTTTTTTAAACTCTTAGCCGTGCTAACATTAGCTTCGGTTTAGCTTAGCATGATAAAGAATGCTTGTGCTCCATGGGTTATGCGAGCTAACTCGAGCCTAATTTGAGCTCATGCTACTGCTAATATTAGCCGTCAACCTTCCCTTAGTTCATGGTTGCGAGCGACTTGTCGTCACACATTGTGAAACACACCGTTGATGTAAAATTGGTTATTTAGTTATTTTCTAACAGCACACTTGTTATTTTACTTACACTAGTGTCGCGTTTTATCTGGCAATTGTACGCGGTATCAAGGGCACATGTAAGAGCTGTTTTCCTTGAAATACTCGAGCTTTAGCTATTAGCATGTTTAGCTCGCTGATGCCATTTTGTTTTCTGTATCAGCTGCAGTCAGTTCATTATACTTCAACTGAGCCAAAACAGACCAGTTGAACTCACAACCTTAAGTTACACTTCAGTGGTTTACTAATATTATTCTAGTCACCCAGCGCTTTGACGTTTTGACCAGTTTTATTAGCTACGTTCGCATACAGGGACTGTGTGACCGTTTCATGCTCGTATTAACGATGGTGTCAAACAATCCTAAATGGTTGCTATATTTATGTATATAGCAGCCAACGTCGTGTACATTTGACTGTAACGTAGAATGGTTTTGCTAATGCGTATTTTTCTCTCGATGCGTGTGACAAGTTGACACAGTGCTCTTTCTTGATTTGTGTTTAAGTTGGATCTGATACCTGGGTCACAGTGATGGAGGGTCAGGATAATGCAGATCAAGGCAGCAGTGATCAGTCTGAAATACAACGCAGAAGGCAGCTGGACCGTCTGGACAGAGAGGAAGCTTTCTATCAGTTTGTCAACAATCTTAGCGAGGAAGATTATAGGCTCATGAGAGACAACAATCTACTTGGCACCCCTGGTAAAAACAATTTTCATTCATCTTTTTATCATGCAAGACAATTTAAATGATTTTTAAAGTGCTTTACTTGGATACATTGTGGTCATTATGGTTTGTAACATTTTTTGGAGGCGTTTAAAGGTGCATTAGAATGCATTTGATACATTGTTTAAACCTCTGTGTGCTTTTATTGAGGTAAAGTTGGTTTTATATTTGCACATGACTTTCAAACAACAGCACTATTTATTTGACTGTGATTTAGGGCTGCACAATATTGGAAAAATCAAAGATTGTGATGTTTTTTAATCTGCGATATATGTTGCGATTAGGCATGGCATGATAATTGGTTTCAAGGTTTACCGAGGTTTAGAAAAGTCAAGGTTTTAAAACTGCTAAGGTTTTCTGTTATACCATTCTTAAGGTATATGTAAGATTTTTTTTAATGTGTTTCTTTTATATTTTGTAAAGAAATCAGTCTTTTTGGAGCTAATGAAGACAGCAGAAGTCAATTATTTATTTTAATTATGTAGTCTGACATGTTACCGTTCCAAAATGTTATAAATGTTTCCTAAAATAAAATATAGTGCATTTAATAGGGGAAAAAGTTTTTGTTTTTTACCCAGACATTTAAAAATAACTTATTTTAGTGCAGTAATCACAATTCTAGAGCTGCACGATATTGGAAAATCTAGCATTACGATATATATTTTTTAATTTGAATATTATTACTTGCATGTTTTGTGAGTATTTTGATGCATAACAATCTATAAATACAATCAAGAAAAAGCAATTGAAATAAAGGGTTTTTTTGTTTGTTTGTTTCCTGAGTCTAAAAATATTTAAATACAGTAACTGAATGATAAAAAAAATAATTCAATAAAATATTTCATTGTTAAAGTCAAAAATGGTGACTACACAATACCATGATATCGTGAAATCGTAATATTTTTAGCCAAGGTTATCATATCATTAGAAACTTGTACCGGCCGATATGAATAAAATCTTACAAGAGAAGTTGAATAACTGTTTGGAAACTATTTTTAGTTTTCGATTCAGATGATTCTGTTGGGGAATGCGTAAAATATAATAAACAATCAATGAGCATAGATTAATTTAATAAAGAAAAAGATAATCCTTTTTTTTGTAGAAGTCGAACTTTATTCAGGTGTAGAGTAATTGAATAATTAAATGTAAAATGATACTGCATAGTAGAGCTGCACGATTCTGGCTAAAATGAGAATCACAGTTTTGTTCAAAATAAAGATCACAATTCTCTCACGATTCTGTAGATGTAAAATAAAGCGTAATATGAGATTATTGTTTTTTTCTCAAACATATGGTTTAACTACAACATTAATATTGTGTGGGTCTATTTCTATAAATAATTAATGTACTTAAATGAATTCTGATGTTGAATTATGTTTATGATATAGGCCTGTGCTTGCAATCTGTCATTGAGAACATAATTAGACCATTTAATTCACTGGTAAAATCTACATTATATAGGCTAGAGTAGTTATACTGACACTGTAAACATTTATTGTCATGCACAGCTGTGTGTTCGAAAGAAAAAAACATATCGAATGCTTTTCACAATAATAACTCTAAAATGCGAAATGATTATTTAAGTGATGTGCACGCTTTCGGCTTCATTTTGACTGCTAAGTGCTGTTCATACATTGTGCGCGGCTCTCAAACGATCACTCTGTGCCAAAAACTGAACATTATTTACAACTTTATTACCTATTATTCAGAGCATATGCTCATGTCACGTGTGATTTCCCGGCCGCGAATACAGCATTATATGAAGACAAAAATGACATTTTTAGGTGAATTACACCTTATAAATACAGTATTAAATACAGTATGTGATTCTTTTAACATCATTTGGAGGTGTCCATGTCGCTAAGCAACGCGTGTGAAACAATGAATAGACTCGTGCAGCCGACTTTGCTTCTCTCCTGAACTTGAAACTATGATTGACAGAATCGTAGAAATGCTGGATTAAGATCGTCTAGGGGGTCGAATCGAGATTGCAATCTCTTTTCAATTAATTGTGCTGCTCTACTGCATAGTTTTCGATTTATAAACAGTTCAGTAATTAATTGTTGTTAATTTGTCAAAGTTCCAAACGGTACAATTTCTTATGCCTGAATGCTTTTAAAGCTGTCAGAAAGTCACAGGCCTCAAAAAAACACATGCGAAATGATGAGTTATAATCCAGACTTTGTCTGTGTTTTAGCAAATGCAACAATTTTTAGTGACACATTATTTTGACATATATTTTGGGAAAATGCTTTAGAAAACTCAATAATACCCTCTGGGTAAATTAACTACACTTTCGTTATTTTCTTGGCTGTTTTTGTCCCATTGACTTTCATTATAGTGGCACTTTCTGGTAATTTGATTACTGTTGATCATCAGTTGCAGTGCAAAATAGCATATTTTCTGGCTTCTATATGGAGTATTATGTGTGTATGTGTGTTAAAGAGATCTTTGCACACTTATTTTGATATGCCTGAGAGAATGAAAATAAGCAGCTCAGCTCTCAGAACATTGTAAACATAGTAAGGGGCCGATCAAACTGAATGCTGAGAGATGTGACTGACATGACTTGTTTTTTCCCCTCAGAGTTGACTTTTTTTAACTGTGAACTATCAATGCGCAATGGCAAAAACGCGAGGTGCAGCAGGCGGATAAAATGCGAGGCGTGCATAAGCAGTGTGCAAAATGCTCAAGGCCACAATAATCTTCTGTTTTACTCTATAGAACTTCATATAAAAGCCAGAAACCTTTTTTTGCACATGCAAACAGTAAAATGACACTTACCTGATTGATTATACAATTATATGCTGTCAAGGCTTTGCAATCAAAAATGTTGTAAAAATGGAGGTCAGTGGGCAAAAAAACTGCCATGAACATAAGGAAAGGATCGTCAATTTGAACATTAGACAAGGATTACATTTTATTGATATCTACATAGGTATGTATTTGACTTGGGAAGGTCCAAAAAATCTAGAGAATGAGAAGTTCATTTCCACACTATGATTTAGCCATATAATCGTAATGCTTTGTTTGTAATTTATTTGGAAGGGTTATGAATATTAATAAGCTCTGTCTTTTTTAGGCATGAGCTGGTGTTTGATTCTGATGGTATGACAACCTTAGATAAAAATATCACGACTTCACGGTATGACAATATTGTGCTTACTGCTCTAAAACAAGTTCTTTTTAAATATCTGGGTAAAAAAAACTAAAACTTTTTTCCCTTTGAACAATATATTTTATTTTGAGAAACATTAAAAAAAAATTTGGAGCAGTAAACATGTCAGGCTAAAGAAATCAAATAAATTATTGACTCTTGTTTCAAAAACAGATTTCTTTACAATTTAAGACGGCATCTTTGGATAGCTTTACTGATGGAGATTGGTTGTCCTAAAAAAACAAACAAACCAAAAAAAAAAAAAACTATAAAAAAATCTTATATCTCATCTTAACTCGTATCTTAGGAACGGTATAGCAGAAAATGTTGGCAGTTTTAAAACCTTAATCTTTCCAAACCGCGGTATACCTTGAAAATGATTATCGTCCCATGCCTAGTCCTCATGCTCCTGGCAGAGCTCTCAGAACTGTTTAGCATGGTTCAGCAAAGTTCAGATTGCTTCAGTTTCAGTTATCTTCTACAGCAGTTTAGTACTGCTTAAAGTAAGTAATAATATTGCTTTATTTACACCTCCTTTATTGCTGTGACATCTTTGTAAACGTGACAAAAACGCACAATACAAAACAACCAATAACACAAAAGCAAAGGATTCTACAGATGGAATAGTGTTCTAGTGTTCTTTGCCTGCAATTTAAACGTAGCACATGATATGTTTCATGTTGCAAATCCAATGACTCTACAAGTAGTAATTCTCTTGGTCAAATTGGTGATCAGCAGTGTGTATACGTCAAGTTTTGACAACAGTACAGCTCACTTTAAAGCCCTCTTAAGTTCTGTTGAGTTGGGTATTGGAGATCAAATATAGTCTAATTATAATTACAAGAACATAAGATAAATACAGATGTATTTAGAGTTAAATACATTTGTAATCCGTCTTTTTTGTTGAATTTTTTTATGTGTTGACAAGTAATTGTAACAGATGAGATGCTTATAAGATATATTGACTTAGATCAAAGCTACTGCCTGTCCCATTTTCAAAATAAGAGATAGATAGGGAACATAATAAGCTGTGATATGAATACCATATATATATATATTAGGGGTGTCACGATTTCGATTTTTAATCGAAATCGATCGAAATTTATGCTCAATTTCGATTACCGAATCAAAAAATAGAATCGTCGATGCTGCCACGCCCCCATGTCACGTCAGCTTGGCTTGCCAAGCGGGAAAAAAACGGCTTGTTGAAGTGCTTGTTAAACTGCAGAAGCAGGAGACCCGTCGACAGAAACCCTCTCCTCTTTCAATGAAGTCGCCGGTGTGTAAGCATTTTGGATTTCGTGTTGTCGACAAAAAAAACACAGTTTTGCAAGCTCTGCTATGTATGTATTACGTACGGTTCGTCCGATAGACAACACCGGCATCGCGATCCTCCGCCCGCCCCCGTTGCAAATCTGCTTGCGGAAAATGCCACGTGACCACACAGACACAGACGCATACACAGCCATGCGCTCGAGACAGCAGGTCCAGGCAGTCAGAGGACTGCTTCAATCTTTCACTCACTTGTACTTAGTCATTTTAGCGCACACCTCAGATACTGTTGGCTAGTTCCTGTTGGTTGTGCGTCTTTTTTACCGACGCCATTATAACGACACAGATCACTGCCTATTCACGAGTCTCGCAGAAAAAGTGATTGACGGGGTAATTATGCGTGTATCTTGCCTTTATTCATTTACTGTATGATTTGTTTATGGGTAAAACAAAGACCATCCAGGTCAGGTAGTTTAAACGGTAGGCTACAAATAATTAATTGGTCATTAATTAATTAATTATTCATAATCGAGAATTGAATCGTGCCTTTAGAATCGAAAATGTAATCGAATCGAGGATTTGGAGGATCGTGACACCCTTAATATATATAATTTATATTTGGGTCCATGCAATCAGTTGGTGCTTTCACATTTAGCTCTAATGCCAAAATGATATTTCCTTTTTTGTTTTATATCCCCCTCTCAAGTTTGAACTTGGGAAAATATAGTTTAATTTTCAATGTGCTAACACTAGGTGGTACACCATTCATCATGAATGCATTGTAAAAGTTCAAATGAATGAGTAGAGGTTTTCTGCTGAGGTTGTGCAGAAATTAGATTTTTACAGTGTGTCAGTTTTCCGTCACAAAAGTGATTGATTGTATGCATGCATACACTGTTTGTCCAATTCATACATGATTTATCAATTCATAACTGTGGCTAGAGGTGGGCAATATGGCAATTATTTTGCTAAAAAAATCACAATATACTTTATGATTTTTAAAAACATTTAGTTTTATAAACATCAAATTCATTCATTCATTTATTTTCTTTTGGATAGTCCCTTTATTAACCTGAGGTCGTCACAACGTAATGAACCGCTAACTTATCCAGCATATGTTTCACTCAGCACATGCCCATCCAGCTGCAACCCATCAATGGGAAACACCCATACACACTCATTCACACATATACAATACGGTCAACTTTAGCATACCCAATTTGTCGATACCACATGTCTTTGGACTGTGGCGGAAACCAGAGCACCCGGAGAAAATCCAGGTAAATACGGGGAGAACATGCAAACTCCACAAAGAAATTTCAACTGACCCAGCCGAGGCTCGAACCAGAGACCTTCTTGCTGTGAGATGATTGTGCTACCTACTGCGCCACCGCGTCACCTTAACATTAAATTGATAATAATTAATGAATACAGACTAGGTGAAAATTAGCAAATATTGACAGAATACAATTTTTTTATTGTCTCTTAATGACAAGCAGCACCATGTTGATTATTAGTCTGCTGGCCCTTTAAGACCCACACATAATGCATCCATTTTTATAATAACTGTTTCCTTTCTATCTAGACACCACATTCAATTGTGTTTATGTAAATCTTGTATGGTTTTGTCAGTTTTGGTGTGATCAGACTTTAAAGATGGCCTGATCTTGTATTTTGGTTATGTTTGACTGGCTTTGTAGGGGATTGCTCATGTCCCTTTTGTCAGGTGTGTGCTCTGAAAAAAAAATGCAGAGCTGCCGTTAACGTTTAGCTGGCAAGGCTTTAAAACAAATGAAACTCACATACTTTTGTCAGTACAAATAAGTTCTGTGACTAACTCTACGACCGAGATAATATTGGATGTCAATTTATGTTGTGATGTACAAAAGCTGATATTAAGACAGAGGGGCACAATTAGCATGCTACATTTTAATCCCACCCAAATTAACAAAATCTGAATTAAACTAAATCCAAGGTTTACCGTAACGTTCACACCGAAAGCGGTGAGAGCGTCAAAGTAGCCGGAAGTCCTTCATTTTCAATGAGAAGAGGTGACGATAAGCTTTAAGGAGCGGCATGGCGCCTCTTTGCCGTTGTGGGCATCGAGGAGAGTTGAAATCAACTCAACTTTATGGTAATGAGCTATGACGGTAGAATGACCTTCAATCAGAATGAAGAAGTCCATCGCTTGAGAGGAGTTCAGAGAACACAGACCTGTGAACTTTGGTACCGACCAAAGGGTTGTTCCCAAGGGGTTGATTATTGGGGTCGCCAGATTTTCAATTATTTACAATGCTTACTTACATAAATATGCATTAAATACGTTACTGGCGAGTTACTGATGTGCATTAATGTTATATATTTATCTTTAAAAAAGCGGGAATCTCATCCAACAGTACAAAATAGTATTGCTGCTTTAGGATATTTAAGACATAGACACATTGGATGATTAAATGGAGCAAACCCAGAACACATGCAACTTGATCTTCCATTGTAAAATGAATTCGATAAGAAGTGTGCAACGTTTTCACGCTAGAAAGCATGTTTTATGCAGGAATGTAACTGATATGCTGCAACTGCTCCTTTAAATACGAGATTAATGTAGCGAATTTTGACAGGCAGCCAGCGTTGTCACCAGGGCGGCTAGAGCGACCTTGGACGCTCTCACTGCTTTCGGTGTGAACACACAGTTACTGGCACCACTACTTGCAAAACAAATAACTTTATATAATGAAAACACATTATATTAGGGGTGTGAACCTACACCGGTCTTACAGTTTGGTTTAGTTACGATTATCATGCCATCCATTCAGTTTAATTCGATATCTTGGTGCATCACGGTGCATTGACGATGCTTTTCATACATAATTAGATTTTTTCTTCACAACACAATAATTTTTTAATATTAAAATCTACATATATTAATATTTATATATTATTTGTATTATAACATTGTCATTTAATACAATCAGTAAGATATGTGTGTGTGTGTATATATATATATATATATATATATATATATATATATATATATATATATATATATATATACACACAACTATAGATAGATAGATAGATAGATAGATAGATAGATAGATATCTTACGGCTTGTATTAAATGACAATATTGTATTACAAATAATATATAAATATTAATATATGCATAGATTTTAATTAAAAAATATTGTGTTGTGAAGAAAAAATTTAATTATGTATGGTAAAACATTGTATGTATGTATGTATGTATGTATGTATGTATGTATGTATGTATGTGTGTGTGTGTGTGTGTGTGTGTGTGTGTGTGTGTGTGTGTGTGTGTGTGTGTGTGTGTGTGTATATATATATATATATATATATATATATATATGTGGTTATCATAGGTAATCCGTAATAAACTCGCAACTCGGGTAAGCTATGTAGACTATCTAGATGACATTTAATAATATTTTAAATTGCCTAGTAATAACACTACACCTACCTTTAGATGTTTGATGAATGCATATGGGAAAGCATGCATTTATTAAAATGATCCCACACATGCATATCTAAGCATCTCCCAAATCAAAACCGTTTATACATATAGATAGCCACAATAGCCAGCTAAAACTAACTAAGGATAAAAAGAATCTGACTACTAGCTATTCATTTAATCAGGGTTGAGGGGTTTTAAAAGAAGTTGCTGCTGGAGAAAAGATTGAACATTTGTGTGTGTATAAATGTTTGGAATTGACCACAGTAAACAATGCTTTTGATCAGTTGAATTGCTTTTTTTAAGTTTTCTGCAAGTCTCCACTCCTTCAGTGGCATAAAATGCTAACCCTCATGTTTCTTGATCAGGTGAAATCACAGCAGATGAACTGTTGAACCGACTTAGGCAGGTCAAGGATGGCCCTGAGTCACCCAGCAGTAACATCACTGAAGAAAGAAGGGAAGCGCCTGGAGGTACGTCAGCTGCTATTTTTTTTTTCTTTTGTGTATCATTCATTTAACTTTCCTGTGATAATCATGTATTTAAAATCAATTTCTTGTCATTCCCAGCGACAGAGGTTGAGGGCACTGAAGAAAACCCAAGTGGGGAGACCCTTCTTGACTGGCTGAACACAGTACGACAGACGGGGAATACAACTAGGAGTGGTTACCGGGGTAACCAGTCATGGCGGGCTGTGAGCCAAACCAATCCCAACAGTGGTGATTTCCGTTTCAGCTTGGAGATCAATGTCAATCGTAACATTGCTGAGCAGCAAACACAGACAGAAAGGTTGGAAGGCAGCCAGGAAAGACCAGATGGCTCTGTTTCTGAGCCTGAGAGTCTTATGGAGACTGCAGAGGTAGTTGAGGAGCCAGTTGTGGATGAGTTGGCTGTTATTGTAGAGCCAGAATTGCCAGTTCCTAGCACATTGACTCTAAACAGAGATGATAATGTACCAGTAGATGCACCAAATCCACTAACCTCAACTCCTCCAAACTTGCCTTCAGTGGAACAACCCCGTAGGGGTCAAATAAGGGCTCGTAGCAGAAGTCCAGAGCAGCGACGGACAAGGGCTCGCACGGCAAGAGGTCGTTCACCGATCAACCTTGAAAGATTGGATGGACTCCCGCCTACCCAGCATGGCATACCTACTCATAATCCTGAGATACTTCCTGAGCCACAGGTTGAGGGAAGCTCAAGGACTCGGCAACTGTTTTTATCTAGGCAGAGCACAGTGGAAACGGAAACTCATACTTTGGGATCAGCAACTGACGTACCTGAAGCACCTCAAGAAAGAGAGGCAACTACTGGAGAAGCAGGGGCCTCAGGACGTCGTCCTCCAACCATAATGCTGGATTTGCAGGTACGTAGGGTGCGTCCCGGAGAGTATCGTCAGAGAGACAGCATTGCAAATCGTACAAGGTCTCGTTCGCAGACTTCAAACAACACTTTATTATACGAGACTGAGCGTGGAGGTTTTCGCCGGACCTTCTCCCGTTCTGAGCGAGCAGGAGTAAGAACATACGTCAGCACTATCCGCATTCCCATTCGTAGGATCTCGGATGCAGGACTTGGGGAAGCCACTTCTTTGGCTCTGCAGTCTATGATTCGTCAGATCATGACTGGCTTTGGTGAGCTTAGCTATTTTATGGAAGCTGAAGTTCCAGACTCAAATCGTGAAGACAACCCACCAGCAGACCTCTCTGACGCACTGGGAAACCCTGATGCTTCTACTGGAACTGGTGCAAGTGAAGCAGACCCCTATCTTCCCGGCCATGGAGGCTTGAACCAGGGTGGTTTAGAGGCAAGGACTGAGGAAAGGGAAGTGGAAGGTGGACTACCTGGTGCTGCTGGACCTCGGGAGAACCGAGGGCGACAACGGGCTCCGATCAACTTGGATGAAACTGGATCACTGCCCTTCCTGCGACTTGCGCACTTCTTCTTGCTCAACGAGGAAGATGACGACCAGCCCAGAGGTCTCACCAAAGAGCAGATTGACAACTTATCCATGCGAAACTTTGGCGAGAGCGATGCATTCAAAACTTGTAGTGTCTGTATTACAGAGTATGCTGAAGGCAACAAACTGCGGAAGCTGCCCTGCTCTCATGAGTACCATGTGCACTGTATCGACCGCTGGCTATCAGAAAACTCAACCTGCCCTATTTGCCGCAGGGCGGTGCTCATTTCCACCAACCGTGAGAGTGTTGTCTAGCTAAAATGAGATTTTTCTGCCCTTTGCTTTATATTTACCTAGTCATGTGAGGACTCTTAATGAGATTTCCCCCCCATACATCTTATATAAAGCCATCAAGTTTTATCAGATTTGCTGGTGCCAAGATCTCCCCACCCCCAAACTTTATGGCAGTGTGTTTTGACACATCTTACAGTGGAATAAGTATTGTTGCAGGACAAAAACGGTGAAGGCCATGCTCCAGCCCTGGTTCTTCACTTCTATTAAATATCAACATTTGACAAAATTCTAAGGCAATGCAGAGATCCCTTTGTATGGTACATTTACTTTGTTCAAAAAAAGAGCACTGTGCTGCATATGTTTATGTGGTTTCATACAGTGTTGGTTGTGTTGGTATGAAATCATAGTATGTGTTGTACCAGTTGCATCATAAATGACTAAATGCAGATGATCCGAAAAAGATTTCATGCAATAGTTTTAAGCGAGTTTGTCATACTCTGTAGAATAGACTTTGATTTGGCATTTAACCATTTTCTGTAAACCTGGTTTTAAAAGCCATGTGATCAGACACTTTTTAAACAAACCAACCAACAACAAGGCTGTAAATATGCTACACGGACACATCAGGTTGTATTTTCGCCTGTCTTCCCAAATGACGATGATGCATCAGTCTGCGGATTCAAAAGCATCTTTCATATATCTTAAGTAATAAACTTGGCTATGTATAGGCAATGTTGTGCAATGCTAATAAGGAAAATGTAAAGGATGTTTTGCCAGATTGACTTGTATGTTGTAGTCTGTAAATATTAACATTTAAAATGAAGACTTAAATGGAAGTTTTTCTAACAGTTCTGTACATTGAAAATAGCACCATTTATCTACCATTTATCATTAACGTCTGAGGAGGAAATTATTTTTTCTCATGGAATGGTTGGTTTCTTATATGAGCTGAGGTTATTAAGGCTGATGTGAGTGAGAAATGCAGTGTCCTTTAGAAACGATCTATTTTCATTGTTTCTTTGTTCACTTGGGAGACTAACCCTAAGCATAATGTTCTCGAATACATCAACATTTCATGTCTCGTAAGCAAGCCAACCCTCATTAAATGCACACTCTTCTTCAGTTCTGAGGTCATGTATTATGAGAGCGAGCTCCTCAATAGAATTTCTTAATTTTGTCAGCATCATATTTATAGCCTATTTTTGAGTCAGATTTTGACTAGCTTCCACTTTGCTGTGTTTAAAATGAATAAAATTATTTCCTCACCTGACCGTTTTCTCTGTGGCCTCACCAGTGTCCCCATCCTGTTAAGTGCTGCTTCAGAATAAAGAAAAATATCTTCCAGCCTCACAATTGATGAATCCAATTAGCAATACATATTTGGACATCTTAAGAACAAGCTGTGATGTAAAATTAAATAGGTTATATATAATGAATATGGGACCAAGGTGCAGTGTAAGACTGGCAATCCAGAGCCTGAGACATATACACATGCATATATCTATGATCGGAAACGGCTTGTTCACTAAGCCAACAATAACACAAGTTTCTGGCACCGTAAATGTCAGAAACGTAGATGTCGCCTACGCTATTGTTGTCTATTGGAAGGAATGCGTCAACAGAGCCGCCATTTTAGTACAGGGTAGCACTCCTTTGAAATGAATGTGGGACCAAGGTGCAGTGGAGGACTGGGAATCCAGAGCCTGAGACAAATACACATTTACATATATCTATGATCGAAAACAACTCGTTCACTTAGCCGACAATAAGTTTCTGGCACTGCAGTATTTTGTTGTCATCTTTGATTTACATTGCTTATTTTTTTCAACAAAACTAGCATAATCCTAGTATTTAGTTTGAGTTGCTGCTATTTTGCCTCATTTTCAGTGCAGTAAGTGACTATTATCATCAATAACATTACTTGTTGAGCACAAAAAACAAAATCTTACCTATGAAATGTTCTGCCTTTATGCTTTGATTTTTTGCTCTTTCTACACCCGTGCACAGCGGGTCCAGCATCTTTACATTGGCTTTAGTATTAACAAGTGAATCCAGATACTGAGTTGAATGACATTTGTCCTGGGAGCACTGTACAAATGTGGCGGCGCTATTGACACATGCTTAGGGTCTGTATGCGATATCTAGTGTAAATATCTATGGTTCAACGCAAGTGCTAACTACTTACACAGATGTTGCTTTACACAGATTTTTTCTGTCCTGGCATCATCAAATTTATAATTTACAATAAAATTTGGGCGGCAAGAAAACTGCTATGTTTTATTATTAATTTAAGAAATGAAGTTTTCATTTAAACCCAACTATCCTGTAATTCTTTGTAATTGACAAACTCAATATTTTACAGCCTGTTCACGCCAGTACTTCGCATTCTAAACTTTTGGTCTGATTGACAAAAACATGTCTTAATACCAGGTCTGAACAGGGCCTTTTTTCTTAAGCTGAAGTCAGCTTTTTTAAAATCAAAATTAAATCTAAGAATTATATCAAGATGCAATTTAAAACTACTCAAAACAAATGTAATGTGTAGTTTTATGGGAAATAAACTTTTTTTTTTCCATTATTATCCAAACGCAAGTTTCTATAAGCTCTGGAAAATAATCAAGTGACTGTTATCAGACCTTGTTGTTGCTATCCATGTTTGCCATCCCAAGATATTTTAGAAATCCAGACCTGTTGACGATGTATGTTTAGATTACATACATCTATACTAGAGTGATTTATTGTAGTGACGCAGAAGATTGGTCATATATGAACAGCATAAATCAAATGTCACGGTGTCAATAATACTGTATCATTAGGTACGTCTTGTACATTGTACACTTGTATTTCATTTAAGCACCGCTAGGCGTCACAGTGGCTTCATGAATGACTACTGACAAAGACGCAAATAAAGTGACAATAATCATGCGTAAACAAATAAAGTTTATATAAGAAACAAAGTATAACTGTTTATTTTTGGATTTTTACATTGTATCTCGCAATTCAATTCAAACTTGATATATTGGCTTGAGAAGTTCCACATATTACAATGTTGCATATTTCTCTCAGTTCAATTTGGTATATTGACATGACAAATGTATTGCAACCAAAGCAAAGCATCGATAAAGTTTACATTATAAAGAACATATATATGTATATATATTTATTTAAAAAATAAATAAATAAATAAAAACAATAAATAGTAGTAGTACATTAAAAATAATTATATATATATATATATATATATATATATATATATATATATATATATATATATATATATACATATACACATATGAGATGCCGTGTAGGATTTAAATCAAACTTTGCTTACAAACACATACATAAAACACATGTATATACACCTATAAATTACTCGCATATACACCTATACTACTGAATGTTCGAAACAACATAGATGAAACTTGTGTATATACATATTAACTTGACGCATGAATACACCCACATACACACGCACATACATATAAACTTGCTGCATGCAAACAAACCTATACACACTTGCATATACATATAAACTCGATCAAATGCATTCAACAGACTTAAATGACAGTGTATTGCTGTAGAGGACAAATAAAACACGGGACAGGTGTTTAGGAAGAGTATAGTTTATTTTGTTTGACCTGCAAACTTATCTAAAACAAGACAAACTCTCAGAAAACAGACCGGAAACATTATGATGCGCGCGCTCGTGGAGATAACCCGCGGTCGTCTTCAACTGTTGTCTTCAATAGTCCATCTTTGCTCAACAACTCATCTGAAAAACAAAGCAAAACATTACAACATTCAGACAAAGAGCAGAGAGCATAGAATCACCAAGAGGCGATACTCTAGTGCAATTTGGGAAACAATAACGCGCTTTTTGAATAAAAACAAAGCCGCTGTTTGCCATTGCGACAGCAATGATATCCAATGCACGAGCGATCGCTTCACTTCAAAATGGCGGAATCTGTTGCTCTTGGTCATCCTAGGCTCTTTGCATAGTTAAATCATAACAGTTATCATGGTTTCTATTTCAAACTATAGTAAACTAAAGTTTGAAACTATAGTTTAAAATAGAAGATGAGTGGGCCTCGCTACTCCCACCCACCATAACCCTCGCAGCGAGGACCCACTACCGGCCCCCCGTGTTTCCCTGAGGGTCCTCGGGGGTTGTTTGTTCCCTGCCTAGGGCTCAAAGGCCGCCTCGCCCCAGGGAGTGCACGGAAAGACCGGGCGCCAGGCCGTGCCAGTATTCACTGGATGTTGCTCGGCGGCACATTTCGAGCAACAAACACGTAATATTCTTCGCGATATTGCGTTTATGTACGCAAACCGCAAGGAACTACAGCACAGACGGGCCCGGGTGAAGCATCACGAAGCGGACTTCGTGAGTTTGGCGTAGCTCCACTCGTACCGTCGGTATTGAACTCACCTTGGTCAAGTACAAACAGCTACACCGGGCGAACTGACAACGCTGATTGAGAGCACACGATCTTTATAGGAATGCATATGCAAATTTTTACAAGGCACGTCACTGTTGTCTCGTTGTCATGGGGAGTGCTGAGGAGGGCTCACCTGATTGGAGCACAGAGACGCGGAATTTGCGTCACGGCTAGTTGCCGTCTGCTGTTGACAAAAATATCTTAAATATAATAAATATATATTTTTACATTTTTGGTGCTCTGTAATATTCTGGGATGCAGTAGAATATGGAGACAGATGAATATAATTGGATATATGCCGAGCTAGTGTTGTTCCCATACTTATTAACTTCCGGTGACAGGTTATTATGAGTTTTTTTTTTCTATTTTATACGGTTCCTTTTACAGCATTGATGTTGTGATGCAATTAAAATACATTCAGTTAAATAAACTTTGGCATTCATTTAGTTGTTCAAGCGTAAAACGAGACAAAAGACCCTTTACTCGCACTCGCCCGTCAGAATCGGCAGACTAGCACAGACGCTCCATTGAATACAATGAGGTAAAATAACTTAAATGCTCATATTATAAAGACATGGCGGGGAAAATATAATTTAATGCAGTGCTTCTTGTACAATCTGAGACCCACGTTATATCGGATATCACTCAGCCAGTGGAGATCGCTGATTTTTAAAGAAAACAGACCTTAAAAACGTGCAGATATTTCCTTTGGCATACAGTTCGCCGGAAGCGCTTAACCCAGCTTAAAAGTCCTATTAACATGCTTCAGCATATACCCTTAAATCCCAGATTGTCTTTCGAAAAAGAGTACGGGTTTAACCCCGCCATCCTGGCCAAATTTACCCACTGGCCTCTGTCCATCATGGCTTCATTTCTCTGTCTCCTCTCTCTGTGGTGTGCGGTCTGGTGGAAAACGGCTGCTGTCGCTTCATCTAGGTGGATGCTACACTGGTGGTAGATGAGGAGATTGCTTCCCAATAAATACTAAACTAGCTAAATTTAATAACAATATTTCCCCTAAATGCTAATTTTGTACTCAATATGATGAAACACTAAAGCATTTATTTTGGGAGTGTACTTACTGTAAAGTGTTTTGGGTTGACTTTTCCAATTTCATTAAAAAATTCTTATTTCCAAACTTCTGTATTTCCCCAAAAATTGTATTCTTTGGTTACTCTCTGAGTGTAGATCCTTCTCATTGAACATTTATTGTTGATTTATTGTTTTTTATAGCAACATTTTACTTCCATATATGTTAATTTTCAAAGAAACACCCTTACTTTTTTATTTTCAGAAAGGACTTTGAAATTTATGTCAACTCTTTAAAAGACTCTAACAATTACACTGCATGTAAAATACTTTCTTGGTGTAAATCATTTAAACTTGTTTAATTTGCTGGAATTCTATTTATGTAACCCTCTTTGTCTCTTTGTTCATATTATATCTTTGTAATGTTCTTTCTTGCATTAAAAAAAAAGTAGATGAGGAGATTCCCCCTATGTGTAAAGCGCTTTGAGTGCCAAGACAAGCGCTATATAAACGTAAGGAATTATTATTATTATTATAAAGCACTGTTCTACCATCATGATATAGCCAGACTAAAATGAAAATCACATTATTACGATTAGCTTAAACTACAGCGAACACTCCACTCTAGACAAACAGCCCCTTTCATAAAGATTTAATTCACAGGTCTGTCATAATCAGGCAAATATACATTAACATACAGAATATCGGCCTCTTCTGATGCGCCACACGTTAAATAACGCAATAGTTCAAGACACAGGTTTGCTTTTTTTCTCTATTTAAAAGAACGATAACAATACATCATAACAAGAGCAACAACAACAACAATAATTCATATCATAAAGATAAGCCAAGTTGTCTTTTCTAAAATTCAATA